GCCAACGATTACAATTTTGGCTCACAAGTGACTAAAGGGCTCTCAGGTTTTCTTGCCGATAAATATACTGTAAAAACCTTTGAGGCATTTGTTTAGCTTTTGCGGGGACATATTATATTTAATTTACAACTGTTTTGAAGAAATTTTCTTCAAAACAGTTGTAAATTCTTCCTGTAATTGAAACTATTCTGTAAAAATACCATTTCAATTAGTTTTCAAGTTATTCATGAGCTTGTCAGCTAAACAAGTTAACACAAGACTTAATTTGCATTTGTAAACAAAAAACTCTTCTACCAGTTTCATCGAAAATATTCAGGTTAAACAGACGCAGCTTTACCTGTAAAAACTGCCAAACCAGATTTCACCGCCTCGTTGTGTTTTCAGGAAACAGCTTCTTCACATATTTATCAAATTTCTCCTTTTGTTATGGTAGCAAACTGGGAAGCCATTTTGCTCATAAGTCGTGCAAGTTTGGCATCGCTCGGACCCTGGAGGTGAATCAGTGAATAGCACTGGATATCTCACGCTTGAGAAGCCAATCAGAACGTGCCAAATTAACACTATACAGACTGTTTTAGTATATACTGATTATTATTATCTTATTATTACTAAATATTATTATAATTATTATTATCAATTACTTTATTAATATTGTTATTATTATTTATACTATTATTACTATTAAATGACAGTCAACCCTCTCCCTACACTCACCCCTACAATACAGACACAGTCACACTGCTTCAATATGGACACCTCTCTATTACACACTGTTCTCTTCAGTTGGCAAAAGAAATTAATGATGCCAAATTTCTTATACACCCTATCTCTACTACACAGACACTTCCATAAAACAGATGCTTGGGTCTTGCATTAATCAGTATGGGATTTTTGGGACCAAAACACACACAACTCTCTCACAAAATGTCCCCCAGGCAAGGTGATGAGAAGTAGCTGTGCATGTGTGCAAATTCTTTGACCTCAGAATGATTTCCATTGATCTTGCATTTTATATTCCCTTTAGATTGTTTTACAGACTTTAAAATATTTTTTGTTGATTTTCGAGAATTCAAATCCTTCAATTTTATGTGCACTAAATTTCGACAAGTTTCAGGTTACATACTTTATATGAAAGAGAAACTTTATATAGGGAGTTTTGATCTTTTAATTGACCACTAGAAAGTCAAATGACTACATCACGATTGTAGTAACCACATCAACATTAAGTCTTAAATATTTCTGGAATCAAGTATTGTTGCCTGTATCAAATTAAAGCCCCCAGAATCAAAAAAATTCTTGTGCCTATCATGCCACCACAGAATCTGTCACTTTGGCAACTCAGCTTGAAAAAATACCAACTTGCACTTACTTTCGCACTTGACTGCAGGTTTTGCTTGACTTTTTCCCCTAACCTTTCCCTGACTGCAGAGTTCAGTAAAGGAATATGAAAAAGAAAGAAGTTTCAGAAGCTTACTTGAATCCTCGACTGCTAAGTCTCCATCTCATGGATGGAGATTGCTCTGTAACATAAACTTCATCAAAGTGCTGTTTCATAACACTTGTTACTTTGCCATCACCAGCTCCCAAGTCCAACAAATGTGCAGCCTTCCATGTTCCATCTACACCCATAAGGTTTTGAAACTGGGCATTGGAGAACACAAACATTGATCCACGATCCAAAATGCTACATGTATATCAAAAACAGTTTTCAATAAATAAATAAGGGTCTGTTCAAGTACACGTCAGGCAGTGAAAAAAAAAGTTGTGAACTTATTTAAGAATGTGAGTTGCTCCCTGTAGACAAGGCCTCTTTTTCCCTGGCTGGTATTCCATGGGTGTCTATTTTCCTCCCACCAGTTTCAAGAATACCAGGGAAAAGACGCCCCAGCTGTTAGGAGGGAAGAAATAAAGTTAAAATGGATGCCAAAAAGCATTTTTAACCAGGGATCAATATGATGTTATTTTCCTTCAGCCTGTACACTGAGGAAACAAGGGCATTTTGGGACACCACCACTGATTTCCTTGGAAAATGACATCTGAGAAATGAGCGCAGAAATTCCATAGTACAAAACATCTCATCATTGTCCATATCTGGGTGGTGCTTTTAATAATTGGCCGTGCTGTGTGGGAAATTAATTTGCTTCATATATTTTTTATCTAAGCGTTAAATATTTTAAAACAAGCCAACAATATTATCAGGGATCAGATGAGAAATGGCATTTGATGGGTGGGTAATATGAAAAAAGACTGCATTTTTTTTCAGCTGGAAAGAACACTTTGACGTCCGGGTATTTTCCCCGGCTCCTGGCAATTATCTACATCCCTGATTATACACGTCAGTGGGGTAAGAATCAATTTTTCTCAGGCTATTCAGCCCGCAACAGTGCAGTAAGACATGTTACTCAAAACCTTGATAATGATAGGGCAACCTGATATCTGCATGTATCCACTTCTGATTGGCCATGCCGATAGTTATGCTTTTTGTGACAGGATTTCTTGTACAATAGATCAAGAAAATTGCCATAATTCCCTAGATAGTGATGTCAAAAATATATTGCAGAATAAATTTGAGGACAAGCATTCAAAGCCTTTTACAAATAACAGAATGTAAGAATGTTCATCAAGTTGATTCAGTAATGTTGCTTGTGTGTCACGTACATGTGTACCTCACAGTAATTATGATGAGCAATACACGGTAGACTGGGATAAGTCTAAATAATGGCTGGGGTAAACTATATGTTTGGAACCATGGAATGAAAATTTATCAGAAGGGGCCTTTTTTGAGTGAGAGAGCTAAATAGAGATTGAAAATACAATAAATTATACTTCAACTATAACAAGGATTTCCTGGGTTAATCTAGATAATAAATAATACATTCATTAATAATAACATGCTTACCCATTGACTGTAGTTACAGAGAAGAAATAACCAAAAAAACCTTTAAAAAAAAGATGTCCAATTTGTGAGAGCACCGAATCAGCTTTTTGATGACAGTTCTCCAGGAAGGCTTCAGTTTCTTTATCCAGGGTGCTCTCCACAAACTTTGCTTGTAATTCTTCTGAGAGTGAAGAGTTTATGCACTTGTACCACTAAAAAGAAAAAAAACACAAACAACACATAATAATTTGGTTAATTGGGGCTGGTTTGATTTGTAAGTATTTTTCTTCAAAAAAAAATTTTCTGTACATGCAATAGCAACATTTTGCAAATCTGATCTTTGTTTAGTCTAGAGGCAGCGTCCTTTGAAGATGAGTTCAGGGCTCAAAATATTGGCCGGTCAAAGGACAATGTTCAGACTGAAGGAGAGTTGACCAGGCAATCTTTTGTCTTGATGGTCATGTTCATCGGTTACATTCAATCGTATTGAAAATGAAGTAAATTAAAATTTCCATGCTGTTCAGTTGTTTCAGTTGTCATCAGTACTATGTAGTGAGTCACTGTGTATTGTGGAACTTTGATCTGAAATTCTGGGTGAAATGCACGTAAACCGTTGTTTACAATTCGCGCATATCTGCCCCACCTTCAACAAGATTCTAACAGCAGTTGAACAAAATAAAATGACTGGAAAGATCAAATATCAAAGACTGTCAGTTACAGGTAAAGATTTAGGTAGAAATAAAATGTACTGTACGTGATGGATTGTGCAATAAATATTTTCAGAAAGGGGGCTGGAAAACCAGTGGGGTGTTTACAGTCTGCACTCACTGATGTTATATCTACGTCTTGGTTTTCCTCCTCAGCTACTTGCAGTCGTTCCAATAACAATCTCCCAGTTCTACTTCTCACATATTGACTGGCCCACATGTATTTATATCCAGAAACAGACAGTACTGCAGAAAATAATCAACAAAAAGTTAACACTTCATTAATCCTGTAAAATAAGGTTGCTTTCCAAGAGTCAGAACTGGCCAGCCGGACCATGGCCTGACCAGACATTTTGGCAATGAAAAAGGCTTTTTCAAGAGGCTTTGATGAAACCATCTCCTTTGTGCATAATATTTCAGATTTAACTGATCTGAATGGATAGTTTTAGTGAAGTAAAGCAAGCAAAATTGTACACAGATGTCACCAAGAAATGAAATTTGTGCTTGTGGGAGTGAGAAATACTTTGCAATTTGTAAACCAGAAAAGTCTACCCTTATAGAAATGAACTAATCTCAGTTAATTTGCGGACTCTCAAAGAAATTTCTACTCAACATTGCTCTAATTTGATTATTTGACATGACCTTTATAAGCAACACTTAATTAGCAGCATGACGCACAATGCACCATACACCACATGCCACACTTAATATTGTTCTGTTTTCCCTATATCTTTGATCTGTAACTTTTGGCAGTTGTTAATGGTTAGGCAAGGGTCGACATTAACGGCTGCCCGCTTGCCCGCAGCAACTAAAAATTTCATCCGGGCAACTAAGTTTAGGATTCTAGTTGCCGGATCGGGCAACTGCAATTTCTGTGAAAGTTGTAGGTTAAAATGTTTCAGTATTTTTGTATCAAGTCTAACTTTTAAACTATCAAAACCGTATTTACATTTGTGAACATTTGTATTTACGTGAGTCATACACAACTGCGTAAATTAAAAAGAGATTGAAATATCATCTTGAATTTTGTTGTTTGTTCACTGGAAGTTAGCCTGAGAATAATAAGTTTTAGGTGCCCGTTCAGGCTCCCTGTTTGAAATTTAGGTGTCTCTGGTGACCAGGCGCCCGTTAGGCAGCAGCCTTGTGAGTTCAAACCTATTTCAATTTGGCACATAAATTGGCCTGAATTTCATCCGATTACGTCGAGTCGTTATTACTCTCTCGATTCAGACATTGCTGAGAGGAGAAAATGACTCAAAGCAATCAGATGAAATTCAGGCTTTGCGTAAATGTGAACAAATTTTTGTTTAGAATATTATCGTCAAAAGGGAAGGTGATTAAATAAAAAGGGAAAGGTGGTTCTGGAGGATGGAATTTAATGCTGACCACTCAACAAGAACATGGACTACCTGGACTACCTTGAGCACCTACTTTATTACAAAATAAAGAAGATTTTGCATATTACCAATACGATGAAAAAAAAATATAGTCTGATAATTCTCTCCCTTTAGGTTCCGGCAAACCCTACAGGGGCAGTTACTTAAATAACCCTAACAGATGTGAGACTGAAAGATGAATATGTTGTGGTTCAATTTTATCCTTGGTTAATATACTTTATTCCCCTTTGTTTTTGGGTATGGTAATGTACAGTACAGGCCATGGGCATTGCAGCATTACACGCGTGTTTCATGCGTGGAAATCCGCCATATTGCACGCAAATTCCATGAGAAAAACACATGTGAAACACTCGTGTAAAAAAATACACGCAAAAATACATGCAAAAATACACGCAAATTAGGAAAATTTGCGTGTAAAACTTTACACGCAGGTTGTTATAATTTACGTGTTTTTGGTTTACTCAAGTTTTTACATCGCTGGCTGAGTGACTGCAGTTGTACCTGTGCAGGTGTAATTTGTTAGCATAAATCAAACTTTCGAGGCACGTTCAAATGTTAGTATTTAATGTTATCTGGGCTAAAAGTGATCCAAGTTTTTTGACCAAATGAACATTGTTTTAAAATATTTACATGTTCTTCACTTGAATCTTCATTTGTAGACTTCACAGAGATTATAAAAAGGTTTCAACTAAAATCAGTTTCAGTCATCAATTCGTGACTATTGTGATGGACCAACTACTCTGTTTTGGTGAAGGGTCGCTTCCACATGTATTTTGCTTACAGCATTTCATCTCCTACTTTTATTTAGCTCACTGCTTTGAGTTATTTTCTCCGGCAGCGATCTCCTTTGTCCTCTATCCTTCCTGCAATGTAGGTTCGAAGTAAGAAAGGCTTGTTACTTTGGCAAGAATTTTTAAAGTTTCTTTTAGCTCGCAACACCGGCGTCACTCAGGCGCGTCATGTGTCTACGTTTAAGGAAACAATCTGGCTTAACTGCAAGAACTAATTTTAGTTCCCAGGTTTTAGTTTTACCTGCCGAGGAAAGGTTGTCTTTTAAGATCTACGTTTTCAGCAAAGAGTGTTTAATACTTGTCAAGGGTAAACAAAATAACACGCTGCATTTTTATCATTTACACAAGCTTCTAATTCCAGAAAATGCATGGGATTGAATTACTTTTAAAAAATGTTGTCTATTTTTAACAGACGGCCCATCACAAATAACATGCAAATTCGGAGTGAAATTATATCCAAGTTTAGTAACGCATTGAAATTTTTAAATAGGTAACAAGTAAGGACATATCGTGAAGCTTGACGCTAATTCAATGTTAGAAAAAAGGCATATGTAAAAGAGAAACGTTGTGTGGTCTTTTAAAAGTTAGTGCCAATCGTGCAAAATCAAACCTTCTAGTCATCCCGATTGTTCGAACCCTCGCTAACTCGAACTTCGTGCTTACTCAAGTCGATTTCTCCTGGAATTCTTTCATACAGCCAGTTACTGTAATTTTACCCAAGCTAACTCGAAGTAATTTTTGTTGCCCTTCAAATCATTTCTCTACAATTTTACCCTCGATAACTGGAACCATGTTTTACGCACGTATTATAAACAAGTCTGGAAGAAAATAGTGTACCGAAGTCCGAGTGCCTGCTACGCAAGCTAAAACATTGAACTTATTGTAAAATAACAGTCGTCGCAAGTAACATGCATCCAATTTTACATGGAAAATAGCGCTTCAGCCAACATCCAAGGAAATCGTTGATTATAAAACATGAGGTTCGCGATCGTAGCATGATCAGTAGTAAGAGACAGTGTATAGCAAGTTGTTTTCTCTTTCACCGCGAAAAGACGTTTTTCCACTAGGTTTCTAATTTTACATCAGGCACATTGTCTGTTGTAAAAGAGAGACACGCAACTTGCATGTATTTTTGTAAGCAAAATCAGTCACCATAAAAATACACTCAAATTTGCATGTAAAAAGTCTGCGTGTAAAAGCTCGTGTAAAAATTTACACACAAGGTTTTTGCGTGGATTTTTCGTGGAAATCCGCCATATTGCATGCAATTTACGCGCGTGTAAGAGCTGCAATGCCCGTGGACTGTACTGTATGATAATGAGTTTGAAACAAAGGAAAATAAAATTCTCACCAAGGATTGAACCACAACATTTCAGCTCCTTCGTTAATTGTATTTGATCAACACCAATAGCCCATTATACAGCTACTGGTAAAAACATGGCTAGAGTTGAACCCTTCTTGCTTTATTATTTCTCCTTATGCTAACTAGTATTTTTCAAAAAAGGAAAGAGGTTTTTATCTGACAAGGTCACTCCAGCCTCACATTCACTTATATAAATGATAGCGCCAGCTGTAAAATGGTCTACTTAGAGCTAGTACTACTGAGGTTCTAATATAGATCTACAGCTGCACAGGACGTACGAGATCTTTCATTACTTTCCACAGGACATTGACCCTCTTAGAGGTTAGAGACACAAAATTTCCGAATATGCTTACCACTAGAAAGAGACCTAACTGAGGTGAATCTTATTTATTAACTATTGTTCTTGACAAAAAGGATAAAGTTATAGAACAAGTTTTAACAATAAAATTTGTTCTCTAACTTTAATTTTATGTAAGGCTGTTTTTGAGGAAATCTATGAGGTTGTCTATTCTATACAACATTGGAAGCATACCTGAGAAAAGAAGACTGAATATGACCGTGAAATACAGCTCGAAAAGTTAAAAAGAGAGCATCAATTCACTCTGATAAAGCGCCATGCACCATGTTGTACACTTTTTCCTGAATTCGGCTTGGTTACCAAGCAGAAAAAGGCCGGTACTCTTACGAGATATGTCCCGATATGTCCTTCATGTAAGCCACGTTGCCATGGCAGCTGGAAAGAGCTGTTTAAAAATGAAAACAAGGCATACGGCATTTATTTTTGATAAAGAGCAAAATATCAAGAATGGGAATGAGAATTAATTAAGTTAAGGCCTTATTTAAATAATGCTTACTGCTGTTACAAGGCGTGCTCCTGACCGAGGGCTACCAAGTTGTATCTCATAAAACCGCTGACCAGCTTTTTGACATTTGCCTGCCCTTATCCATCCATCCATGCAGCCAAATTGGGCGTTTATGAAATGCAATACATTGCGATTGGAGGGATACTGTTACTCGCTGGATCATAGATCGTGTTGGCCTTTCAGCTTTGTAATGCTATCATCCTATTTTAGTTCAAATGCACGCCATTGACCCTAGCGTAGAGGTCTAGGTATGGTATTTAAGTACGGGCAAAAGTGCACTGAGCAAATTCAATCGCAAGCTCAAAAGTGTCTCGGCGAATCTACGAAATTCGACCAAGTTGTCATTAAAAGACAACCACGATGTTATCAAATCTCCTATTCAGCCCTCATACTTCTTGTTATTGGAGTGATCTTAGTAGTTTTATGTCGTCGATACATCAAAGACGTGCTGGAATGGTTACAGAACTTGGATGAGTGGGTCGGAGCCCTTCTGTTTGTAATCATGTTCACAGTTGTTTCTTTTCCCGTGACATGGGGTTACATCATTTTAAACGTAGCAGCTGGCTATTTGTATGGATTTATGCTAGGATTCTTTATTGTTGTGGTTTCTGTAGCGTGTGGCCTGTCGAGTGCGTTCATCGTTTGTAGGCGATATTTACGAGATTTTGTACGCTCTAAACTGGAATCCGACAGTCTAAAAGCTATTATGCGTGTAGTCGAAGGGAAGCGTGGTTTTAAAGTCATCGCCCTTACAAGACTCACGCCTGTACCGTTTGGATTGCAAAATGGACTCTTTGCGGTAAGACATTACTACTTTTCCTGTATTCCATTCATGTGATTTATAGTACTATCGAGTATCACTATCACATATCATATCGATCATACTACACTAGCAAAAATATTGTAAAAAGTCAGGGAAGTTGTTGCTTATGGTTTTGTTTGAAACTTATTTTTAAAGTGTAAGAGTCACAGAACCCTAATCCTTACTCTCTAGTTGCTGTTGCTTATATTTATTTATTTATTTTTCCACCGTTATTTATTTACAAAGTGCAAACGTACTTGCTTATTGATGTACATGTACTTGAGTCATGAGTGTGGGCTGCAGGTACCATTGCTACAATATTATTATTCATGTGTGCATAATTTGACAGTTAAGTCACCATCAAAAATAGGCTTAAAATCACCTAATGTTCACTGGGAGATTCAGGGAAGGGGTTAGCAGGAGGGCTGGGGTGGGGAGGGACAGGGGGGGTGTTGGGCCACAGTGCTGGATATTTTGATTTTTATTTTAATAAGGGTTTTACCTGTACTTATACAGCTTGAAACCTTTTCATAATGAAGGGCTGAGGGACTGGCTAAATTTGTTCACTATAATGAGGTTTCATTAATATGTAGAGGTTCTTTTTCATATGTTTTACTATTATTGAGGTAAAGAAAACCATTGGTTTATTAGGAGGACTTCGTTATATAGAGGCTTGTTACATATTGATTGGAGATATAATTAACGCTATAATATCATTAATTTTGTGTTTTTATTCTTTCCCCTAGGTCACTAATGTTCATACTCCTAAATATGTAATTTCATCTATTGTTGGACTTCTTCCCACTCAAGCATTAAACACATACATGGGATCTACATTCCGTTCATTAGAGGATGTTGTTCAAGATCGCTCAGGAGGTTACATCATGCTCTTTGTTCAATTTATCATTAGTATACTGTTAATGACCTATGTGATTCGCCGTGCAAGGAAAGAGTTAAATAAGACATGTGATGAGATGGAGCCTGATATTGAAGCAAATGGTCATGTAGTGACAGCCTTGCCAGAGCAGTTTCAACCTTTGGTAACAAAGAATTTTGGAAGAGGCTTTGATGAAGAAACACAGATGGGAGAAAAGGTGTTTATAGACAACAAAATGAAGAAAGGGCACCAGAGGTCCAAATCTGCATCTGCCGTGTTAACTATGATCAGTGAAGTAAACAAAGGTGCCCAGACTCCATAATAATAAATTATGTTATTTTTTTTCTTGTATTGGTTACCACTCTCACTTCCTTCAACACTTGAAGCGGATGTTCATGACAAACACCAAAAAATTATTCAATTTTAGTACCTTTTTCTTAGATTTTATTAAGGAGTCTCACCATATGAGTTTTTCCCTTTCTTAAGATTCCTGGTGTGCCCAATTGATAAAATTCGATAATCGACAAAATCAATGTAATCGATTTTATCGATACTTGTAGTCTCTTGATTTCGAAAACCAATGAAAATCAAAGGTTTAAAGAGTTGTGAGTATCAATTTTCATTGATTTTGATCAATTTTAACTCGATTTTCATCAATTTTCATCGATTATTATTTATATCAATTCTAAATTGTAAACGTTTCAGATACGCTTGAGCTATTTCTCTTCCTACAAAAAGATTTGTTGTTTAATTGCTGCTTTTCATCTGAATGTGTCAAAAATACAAAAAACTTGATTGAAAGTGTGTTGAAAACTCTCTTCAAATAGTCTGATCAGTTGAGATCCATGATTTAATAGTGGACAATGCCCTCCAGATAGCCCCCTATAATCTATGTGAACAGACTGATTCATTGAACAACGTCTATTGAAAGTATGGATTCCAACTGAAACCAAGTAATCTGGCCACTTTCTTCGCTTTTTCCACGTACAGACTAAATTGTAACTGTAAATTCTACTAAAACTGGTATTCAACTCTCTGGACATTTACTGCCTTTTTTTTATTTTGTTTCATCAAGAAAAAGTGATTAAAATTCCATGCTAAGAATTCATAAATTCCTCATATGTTTAAACTGATAAAAAGTCAATAAAATCGATACTGTTAAGAGGACTTGCATTGTGAATTTCAATTTTCATCGATTGGTGAGACCAATCGATATTAGTCAATTACTTTTTATCGCTTATATGGATTACACTGATTGGTTTCCGGTGATTGATTTTCATCAATTTGGCACACCAGGTAAGTTTTAAGATTTTGTCATTACTCATGCACATTATGGCAGGCTCTGATTCTGGAGGTGGAAAATGTTAGGTTCAATGAAATGTTTGATACCTGAAGAGCTGTATGTAATGTTACCCAATTTTAAACAAACTCATCTGTCTAGGAAACAAACAATTTTGTTATTTAAAAAAGTGAGTGGCATATTTCAATACCACTTACTTATATGATATATTAACTAAATAATATACAACAATCCCTCAAACAGGAGAGGTACCGGTATTATCTAGCACCATGAACTGTCCCTGAGAGGGATAGAAATAATATTTACGAAATTTCCATAAAGATTCAAAAGTAATATTTGTGAATAAAAGACATTACTTAGTTAGGGCTTTGTTTACATTTTAGTACAGCAGGAGCCCATAACCTGGAGCAAGCAACTTCCATGTACTCATGTCATGGTGTTTTTATGGACCAGTTTATTTTTAGAATGGCTTTGGCATGAATTTAAAATATCTTTAAAGTCCCACAAACCAGTCATCAAAACCTACAGACCTAAAAATGATAATTTTTGCCTTTTAATGACATTAGGTTTTCCTTTTTGATATCTTAAGCTGTCATGCAGCGTTCACACTTGGTGCATGGTGCGGGTGCACAGAATTGGGCACCGGGTCCCAGTGTGCACACAATTTTTGTAAGCTCCAAGCAGTCCACTGCTTTGTTCTCGCTGCTAAGCGCATGTTTCAAAATGGTGTCTGACAGGGCAAACTGGTACACAGACACTGGTTCCTGAGCACCAAGTGTGAACAGCTCTTTATACTTCGAATGTGTTCATGGACATGGCGGGGATTAAAATGTGTCTAAAAATAAACCGGTCGGTAAAAACGCCGTGACATAGGCCTAGTATGTATGGAGTTGCATGGTCCACGTTATGGGCTCCTGAATAATATAGGCAGGGCTTCTGGGAAATGCGGCATGTTTTTTCCTTTATTTTGTTACAAATTTAGTAATATTTTCTACATACCAGTTTTGTCTTGAGTCTAAAAATGCTGCAAAATGGGATGCCATGTTGACTCCCTGGCATCCCAAAACAGTGAACAGCCAATGGTATTGTAAGTTACAGGGACCAATCAAAATGCACAAAAAATTGCTATCCACTGATTTTGTAAATTCCAATAATAATTATTATTCAAGGCTAATGCTAGCCTCCCATGCAGGCGTTTTTAGGGGAGCTCGTATTTCTTCCCTCCCCACAAACGCCTGCTCAACGGAAAACAACATTCCTTTCCCATTTCTTTTCTCCTTTTCCAGGAGTGTAGGATTTTTGCAGGAATGTGTGAGTTTTCTGACTGCAGTATATAACCTTAACTTGCAGCAGGACATTAATCAGGGTCTCAATAGAGTTCTATTAAAGTGTAGCCTCCCCGCAGACGTCCTTTGGGGTTCGTTCGTCACACATTCATTTCTCCCCCACGGAGAGAGGCTAATTAAAGTGATGATGTCATGAAAATTAAATTTTTGAAATTATGGAATTCGTCGGGGGAATTTGAAAGAACATTACTTCTGAAAGGCCTATTTGCCAAAAGCTAGCATTTTGGGGCAAATTGTCTTAGAGATGCTAGTCCAAGTTTGTTCTGATGACTCCATACAAATCCTAAGCTCTAAAATTGATTTGGTTCCTAATGTTATGAACTGCGTCAAATTTAGAAGGATTCGTATGGAGTCATCAGAGCATAACTGGGCTAATATCTGAATCTAATTTCAGAATCCCTGACACTTTTTCTTTGTTACTTTGTTTGATTACCTAAATGTATTTATATTATATTGGTGAAGCTAATAAAATAAAATAAATAAATAAATAAGACAATTTGCCCTGGAATGCTAATATCTGGCAAGTTTGCCATTTGGATGTTGTTCTTTCCTAATGTCCCAACAAATCCCTTAATTTCACAAATTTACTTTTTATGACATCACATTTTGGGACTCTATAGCTTCTGAAAATAACAGAAATTATGTGACTTGTTGTGATTCATATTGCCCACCCGTGCTAACTTTTTATCACTTAATAGCCACAAGTAAGGAAATCCAGGACAGTCTTGGATTCTGGATTCCATGCTGTCGATTCCAGCTACTGGATTCCAGTATTTGTCAGTACAAGTCGGATTCTGGATTCCAATCATTAGTGTGATTCCAGATTCCAAAACTCAGGATTCCGAATTCCATAAGCAAAATTTTCCCGTATTCTAGATTCCACAAACAAAAATTCCCATATTCCAGAATCCAGATTCCCTTTCAATAGGGCAAACTTAAGTGGACCTTATGTGCGGATGCAGCAACAAGCAAAGAAACTTTGTCCTGCTGATGAAAGGTTATCCAATAATAGTATAAAATTTAAAATTTGAACAACTTAAACAGCAAATTATCTATCATTCATAGTAAAAAGCTATAAAAACAAGAGAATGAGCTGAACATTTTACAGCCTATTTTAAATGGATTAGTCTTATTACAAATTAATTTTCCAGTTCTACACCCCTGCTGATACCTTGACAACAGAAATAGTAAATTTTTATTTTGAAGGAATATAATAATGTTACTGAGCCAAAATGCTCTTGAATTATTGTACAATGTAGATTCTGTTATTCTTATTGACCTATTTAAGGCAATGTGATTGCTTGCTTTTGCTTGTTTGAAAACTGTGATAAAGTGTGGTGACTAAACTCATTTTAAAGTTTCAGTACTTTGTAAGTTATGGTTGTTTTAATTCCCCGTTATTTTTACTTTAGTGTTTAAGGAATTTTGTAGCTTTTATTTTCCATACTTTATAATGCAATTCAGGAAAATTATCATGTTGAAGCTTAATTAATTTCGCTATTTTTTATCACAGTTTTTTATGGTCAAATATTTCAAAAAGGTGCCTGTTACAATGTTTAATCTGTTAATATCTTTGAATTGAAAATATACAAAATTAATAATAAAAGTCAGACTAAGAATTACAGTCAAACCGGGAAAACCTTGAACACTAAAAAAAATCTTTGGATTAATACTGAGTTGCAAGAAAAAAGCCAATCAGGCACGTGAGAAAACTGAACTGCAAGCAAGAACATTAATTATTTTGTGGTTTTGTGGCTAGTTCACATGTCATGATCTTTGCTCTGATTAGCCATAATACAAGGTGTTCACGGTTTCCCCCTCACACTAACTGCACATTCTAAATTTTAGAACACTTGGGTGCTTTATATTTTAATTTAAAGGTTGCTACTTATTATGAGGAATTTTTTAAGGAAAAGTAGCCACTCTTTATTTTGGGTTTAGTTTAGGCAATTCCAGTTTGAAACTGTGAAATTCAACAGTGAAGGTTTCTGGGTATGTGACCACCCAACCCTCCCCTAAGTCACAATTTGCCCTAAATGAGAAGTAAGTGCTACAAATTTTTTGGACTGAAATAAAAAGCACAATTATTTTAATTTATCATGATATTTATTTTTAGCCTTGTGCTAACTTTGAAAGTTAGTAGTAATGTCCATACATGTGAGTTGACTAATATTACAGTATCAAATGATGAGGATAATACATGTCAACTGTTTTTCCTAAAATCGCATTCCTGGTGATGCTGTTCAGTAATTGACTGTGATATCACTTTAAAAACTGGAATGGGGCTTGTTGTTAAAGTGAGTCACAAAGTAAATGTTATCCGTATTAACTATAGTTACTCAGCTTACTCTGTACTTGGATCAGAAGGGCTTTAGAAGATGCGTTCTATTCAATCAGCGTAGCCCCTAGGTGTTCTCGGCGCGGTCAATCCTGGACATTACTGTGAGCTGTGACGTCATGAAGAGAGACTCGCCCGCTCTTTCTCAAACTGCAAGGACAAAGGGGCAATAGAGAATGCCTATGGTCTATGCTGCTTTTCAATCACACAAGGTACTTCTTGTCAAAAAGCGGATGCAAATTATTATGTCCCAGTTGTTCCAAGTGGATAGCGCTATCCACTTGATAAATTAATCTCTATCCAGTGAATAAATTGGCAGTTGGTTTCTGTAACATTAA